CATAAACTTTTGATTAATTTGATACATATGTTTAATTCGTTAGATGTACAGATCAACATTAAATGGACTCCTACCCCAACCCTTCAATCATCACTCACTCTTTTGTGTTGCTTAAAATGATTCAATAAAATTTGGTGTACCATATGACATGGTCAGAAGATGAGACTTTAAAAATGTTAGACATGCACTCTAGTTAGGGGTGTACATAATCGGGTTAATTCGGATTTTTCAGATATCAAATCAAACTATTTGTATAACAATTTTAAATTTATAAACCAAATCAAACTAATAAAATTTGGATTTTTTGGATTTTTCAAATGTCAAATCAAACCATTGTGTCGAATTTGTAATTTATAAATCAAACCAATTTATAAACCTCTTTTTTCCAGATTTTTGGATTTTTTCAATAAAGTTTGCATACAAACATATAATTAACTTGTGCTTCAAATATAACTTTAGTCCAACCAAAATACAATTATCTAAGGTATTTCTTAAAAAAATATCATAAAATGTGAGATGAGTATTGTTGACACAAAAATATTCAATTAAAAATAACAATGAAATCATCATATAAAATAAGTATTGTAATGTCATAATGAAAATTATCATAATTTAAAAGTACTAAATCATGCTAAAATAAGTTTAATAAGTATTAGTTACATTACTAAATATTTAAGAAAAATTAAAATTAGATTATGTATTTTAATTATGTAAACTAATGTAAAACTAAAGAATAAACATTCAATATTATTGTCATTCTTAGTGTTGAATTGATTTTCCTTTTGAATTAGTATTAATTTAATTATGACTTAAGTTTTATTATAATTATCAACATCTATGAACTATAATTTTTATTGGATTATTCTGAATTCTAAGTTTGACACTTGAAAATAATATAATAAAAGATAAAACCATGGAATAGTGTAAGAAAGATTTTAAATTATAATGTCGGGTTGATTTGATCTCGGGTTGATTTTTTTAGTTAAAACTAAACCAACCCAAATATAGTCGGATTTTTTTTCGCAATACCAAATCAAGTCAAACTAAACCACCAGTCGAATTTCTTTTTGGATTGACTCGATTTACGATTTGTTTCGATTTTCAGTTCGATTTTATACACCCCTAACTCTAGTTAGATAAATAAACAAACGTCAGAATTAAACACAATCTCAATGATATATCATTTTGTGGGGCATATTCTCATAAAAGTAGGGATTCTATATAAACTATAGATCTTCCTCAGAGTTGAGTTTTCCCTATTTCCGTATAGGTCCATCAAACTCTATTAACACTTTAAACTATAAAGACAACAAACAACATCATTGAAAATTCATTGTGCCCATTCAAACAAAATATAATTAGGAGGACCAACATAACAATTTTAATTAGTCAAACAAAAAAATACTCAGACAATCCATTAAAAAAATTGTCGTAATAGATTACTAACGGAACATGTATTGAGAGGTTGAAGAAAGAGAAAAATCGTGGAACTGGGGAGTAGACATATTGTTAGAGTAGCGAATTGGCACAGGAAACAGTTGATGAGAGAGAAAAATTACTAGTTGTAATTGGACCATTAATTTTGATGTTTAAATATAAGGCAAAATGATCTGATAGACCCTTATACTTGTATCAGTTTATATTGTGAACCCTTCTACTTATCCTTTTACTCATCTGAACTTTTAAACTCAATTAAAATGAGACTTTTAAATTCTTCCAAGCATGTGTGCAGCTCACTCTCCCTTACATAGATGACATGTCATATCCATGTCTTATATATTACTTTCAAATCGTAATCTTCTTCATAATTATTTTTTAATTATTAATTAAAATATTAAATAAAAGACAAAATTAATAAATTTTCTATTTTATCAAATAAAATAAAATTACGGAAAAGGACCTAAAATACCCTTAAAGTATTGGAAATGGTATAAAATTACCCTCCATCCACCTATTGGCTCCAAAAACCCTTCTCACCCACCTATTGGCTCCAAAATACCCTTGTCATCCACCTTTGGTTTGAAATTGACCACTTATTTAACGATTTTAAATTTAAACTATTTAAATATTTTTCTAAATACGTGGCGCTCAACTATTTGTTATAATTTAACTTATTAGTAGAATTTAAAAATCAATCCACTACCCACTTATTACTAATTAAACCCCACCAAATAAATAAATTCGTCACATTACTAATGCAACAACAGGGAAACTACTGCCAATGAGTGTTTTTAAAAATTTGAGGCAAAAATATCTATAGAAGTAAACTATCAGACATTCAAAAGTCTAAATTTAAATTATTGATAAACATAAAAGTCTGACTATGTTCATATTAATTATCCTCTCGTTTCAATTATGTGATGTTACTTTATAGATAACTTTTTTTATAATAAAAAATAATATGCTAAAGGTTTTAAAACAAATCATCAATATTTATAAAATTATAAAAAAAAAAGTGCATGAATTAATTCGGGATGTACTACTTCTTTACCTTTACTCATAAATTTCGAATTCAAGCTTGAAAGAGAATCTTATCGAAAGTGTTCTCCTAACTAAGGAGCTCAACCTAAATTTAATTGGGGCTTCGATTCGGACTTGAATAATTTTGGATGTCATTTTCGTGAATCTATAATTTCGTCGTATTTTAGTAGTGTTTATGACGATTTTGATATTATATTTGGTTTATTAATTGGGTGGGGTTTAGTAATGAGTGGGTAGTGAGTTGCTTTATAAATTATATTAATATATTAAATTATAACCAATAGTTGAGCGCCAAGTATTTTTAAAAATATTTAAACAGTTTTATTTTAAAACAGTTAAATAAGTAATCAATTTTAAATCCAAAGGTGAATGACAAGGATATTTTGAAGTAGTAGGTGGATGAGAAGGACATTTTGAAGCCAATAGGTAGATGAAGGGTAATTTTGTACCATTTCCAATACTTCAAGGATATTTTAAGCCCTTTTCCAATAAAATTATTGTTTCTCCAGCTTTTGCTCCACCTCCCCTAATCCACAATCACTCCCAAAACTCAAAACCATCTCCATGTCTCTTGTTTTTTTCTATATCATTTTTTTTTTCACAATAGAAGTAGGCATTACTTTATTTAATGAAATTAAATAGAAATATTACAACTTTATGAAAATAGATTGGGAGTATTTTTGGGAATTATATTTATAGTTGTTGTGAAAAAAAAATGGAGAATTGAATTCACAAAATTTGTTTTCTCAATTCTTTGGCAATTGAAATTTGGTTGAATAGAGTTGCTGCTAGTTGGAGATTAAATAAATAATGCGCTATTTAATAATGAGCACGTCTTGGTTGAATAGAGCACGTCTCTCGTGCCACTGCGATTTAGTGGTCTCCGATGAATCAGTCGCAATCTCTGGCGAGTGCTGGTGTCTGGTGTTAGTGAATTGTGGAGAAGAAGAAAAAAAAGTTTTGGTAAAAGGCATAAAAATGTCTAAAAAGGAAGACAGTGGGGAACAAGAAAAGCTTTTTTAATTAATTATTTTTAAAAAATATTCTTATATTTTTTTATCTAAAAAGTTATTCACTCGCCTAAAAGTCATTTTAAAGATACATAAGTTTGATCAATAATTAGAAGGATTTGTTAAATTATGTTTTATTAAGTTTAAGGGTCCAAATAACAAAATGGTAAGTAGAAGTGTTCAAAATACAAATTGATTCAAGTAGAAAGGTCCATCAGACCATTTAGCCTAACTATAAAGATAATTAGATAATCCCATTTTTAAGGAATTTATGTATCTTTTTAAAATATATGGTATAAATATTAAAAGTGATTAGTATATGTAATTGTTTGAAAATAGAGGTAATGTTAGTGTATATGGTAGGGAGTGTGTTTCTAGTTAGATAGTTTTTCCTTAAATTAGGGGTGTGCGTTCGATTTTTCAATTTTTGATTTTGAAGAAGTGTAACTCAATCTATACCAAAATAAATTCGATTTGATTTGGTTTTTCTCTTTTTGGTTTGAATTTTTTCGATTTGATTAATTGGTTATGTCAATAATTAGAAACATAACAAAAGTATTTGCAATTTAAAAATTTATATATATATAAATTGAATTTCTTAAATATACTTTGAAATATAAATCACGAGTAAAATGTAAAACACAATACTTAAAAGTATATCAATTTTAGATGTTCAGACATAAGAAAATAAACTAAATCATAATGAAAGTAACTAAAAAGGAACAAAAGTGGTTAACTCCAACTTTTATATATATATATATTTCGACTTTTATTTTTCTAAAACCGAAACCAAACCAAAAAACCAAACAAAGTAAATTATAAATCCAAAATCAAACCAAGAATTCAAAAAACCAATCCAAATTAGAATTGAGTTTGATTTTTTGATTTAATCCAAATAGTGCACACCCCTACTTAGAACTATTGAGATTACGTAGGTCATGACTCAACACAATTCTTAGTTATTTAAGCTCAAAACAAATTTGGACGGATCATAACCAATTCAATTTCTATTTCAATCCATCCATTTAACACCCTTAATTTTCTCTTTTAATTTCCGATGTTAGAATTTTTCTTCAGTTGTTTAGGTGATAAACATCCGCATCAATAAGAGTTTCACCAAAGAATCGTGCTCCATCAGTAGTATTGTCATCTTTATCTAGATAATTATACTGGTCATCAAAGATTGTCTTTTTCCTTTGAACAAAGAATTAATATGCACTTTTGGCAGCGAGCTAGGAGCAGGTTCTACCACCAAATGATCAAATTTATTACTAGATATGTGTCGGGTATATAACAGGGTCATTACCAGAATCATTCTGAACCCTAACAAGGGCTTGGGTTCATCATTAGTAACACTACTTTTACTTTCATCTAAACACCACAAAAATAGATGTGGAGAATTTCATTTTTACATATGCAAATATATATATATTTAACTGAGAAGTAACAAAAGATTAATAGTGTCCCACCACCAGGACATCCTCTCAGATATGAAAAGATCATAATGTGTTCCACTAGAACCGATCGACAGCGTCTTAAATATTGTATAACAGAATTTCAGTGAAGCGGCAAAAGCTTGGAGTTTAAGACAGTCACACATGAGCTTAGCACTTCTTGTGTACCAGTGTATATATCACTAGACACTAGTTATATTTTACTTATCATTTACATATCTGGATCTGCAATATGTGCAGTGAAGTCATTACCTATGTCATAATATAATGAAAGTACATTACATGTATTAGCACCAAAACGTTGAGATATTCTTCCCAAACTCACAAGACGACGGCAGAGAAGAAACATCTCTTCCCTAAAGTCCTCGAGTTAGTCATCTGCCAACCATGGCCATCTTCATAGCATTCAACCTGCCATGAATTGCAGCAGTACTTGTAAGGCAAAGATTGGATAAATATTCTAAACCAAGGTGGAAGTGATAAATGCTTAAAGTAATATACCGAATTCAGAATTTCCTCTTGATCGTTTACCCCGCCAATTACAAATATTTTTCCTCCTATCACAACTGCTCCAGAGTAACCCCTGGGTCTGTTCATCTGCTCTCCCATCACCCATGAACCAAACTGTGGATCAAGTATCTCAACAGATGAAACCATCTTCTCTCCATCATAACCACCCAATGAATATCTGCGAGAATACATTTGTACGTCTGGATATAATCATCTTCAAACACAATGTACAAACATGAAATCAGGACTATCTAAGGTCCGGTAACTACTGGTAATAGGGCAACAAAATACATAATCAGTTAATAGTCACCGAGCTCGATCCTACCACCCTTACCCTCCCAAATATGTCTCGTACCATCCATTACCTTGAAACCTGCTATAGAAAAACTTGCTAAGCAACAAAGTGACTGTCCACCCAATTACAATCATATGAGGACCATGAAACACAGTTAAAATAGTTCAATGGTAATATTAACATATCTAACAGAGGCTTCTACCAAAAACGGACTTACAACTTCTCATTGTAGGCAACCAAAGAGTGGCATCCCCTCCTCATTTTCATGCATTCCACAGTAGTCCATGTATGTTCCCTCGGGTCAAATCTTTCAACAGATCTAAGTGTAGAACCAAATATCACAGTCAGAAATAAATGCACTCTAAACAGAATCTAGACAGAAGTGTCATTATTATTTATTAGGTAAAAGCGCCGTATGGTCATCATACATCCACACCCAATAAACCATGGTATTAAATACCGATTGGAACCAAAAGGCAAACCATCTCTGACCTCTAATAATTATCAAGAGAGCAGATAAGAATTGTCAGTTACATCTTCCCTGTCAAGTCAAAGGGTGGCACTGGGCCGGGCCAGACCGGGTAGGTTCACTAATTATGGAACCCGTCAGTCCGTAACCCGGTTGGGAGTACCAGGTCCACTGGTCCATATTGGGTTTGAAGTGACCTAAGCGGTTCCAGGCAAGACCAGGCTGAATTTCAAAAAAAAATGTGATAACAGTTTAAATGGGTTCAAAATACACCACGGAAAGCAGAACCTCATATATAGTTACCTTCTAATTAGAACTGATAATACCATTTGGGAAAAATTGTGCGTCAAGCAGAATATATGACTTCCCAACATCAATGAATGCTTCACTATTTAGGAATTCACAGAGAACTCTTGGAATTAAGAGAAGCAATCCTAGTTTCTTTAAAGTGTATGATGTTATTTATATTATATAGAAAATTGATAATCTAGATTTTATTTCGGCGTTTACTACGGATATAACCCAGCTTACTCAATCTAAAAAGAACACAGACACACATATCTATAAATATATTACGTACTAATAATCATATATATATATCCCAATGCGGGTATGACAGCTACCTGCAGCACAACATCCCCACCGCCTGGCAGGCCAAAGAGGTGACCATGAACCATGAGTCTAGAAATGATTGGGAGAAGTACGTGAAAAAAGTGAAACAAAAGATCCACCTTAATTGACCAGCTAGGAAAAACTAAATGGGATATGACCTACACAATTACACCTTCCTACATAAGATAACAGGGTTGTCATGAAACAGAGTTTCTAAAAGCTGGATATATAAAAACACATACAAGGACTTGTACTGAAAAGAAAAGGGCACAGATGTTTCATAAAAGATATGGCACATACAAAAGTGGAATGATTTGAAGCATGCAACAAACGGCTAAATAAAATGAATTACTGGAAAATCATAGGAAACTGAGCCTTAAGGAAGACAAGTTAGCAACAACACTAATTCTTACTTCGTATAAGCCTTCCCATCATAACCACCAGCAACATATATAGCACCATTAATATCTGTTGCTGCTGGAGCAAACCGCTGCAATATATACATAAAAAAATAGAAATACATATCAATTGAATTGAGCAAACTTCAGAATATATTGCCTCCAGCTTATCTAAGAAAAAGACGCACACTTTTCTCATTAATAGAGCAACATGCTTGGTGATACCAACTCAAATAAGTCATATACAACACTATAAATTGTAATAAACTCGATGATACCTTTTCCATCATTGACTGAGCAGAGATCCAATGTCCAAGGTTCAAGTCAAACATTTCTACCTCTGAAAAACATTGATCACCATTTCCACCACCAAAAGCAAAAATTTTGTCATTCAAAGAAGCTCCGGCTAAGCACCCCTTTTTCTCATTCAACGAAGGTTGTTGACTCCATTGATTTCTCAATGGACTGTACGATTCAACTAGAAATGAGCAAGTAATGTCAACACATTTCTTTTGGAAACATACAAAAATAGGAGAAGGAACAACCTCAATTATTCATGATTTGTCGCAGTTCCAATTTGTAATGAACCTTTACATGTAACAAGCAAATAAACTTGATGAACTGAAAGCTCATATAATTCAACAATAGAAAGGCACAATGTACTATAACAGGTTTAGCATTAGCTTCGAAATTTTTTGTGTTTTGTGGCACAGAGAGGACCTCCATAACTACCTCTCAGATCTACGTGCAAACACAAAGATACAAATAGATGATTTTCGGCAGAGTTCACGACTAACATACGTAAGCATCAGGTAACTTCAATACAATAAACTAGAGTAAACCATGAAATTTTTTTAAGAAAACCTTGTAATTTTTTTCAAAACAGACGCTTCCTCTCCGAAGTATATGATTTTAATGCATAATTGACATGTATTTGTTGAGCTCAAGAGTTAAATGTACTTAACACCCTATAAATTATTGTTGTTGACTCTATAATGTGTCCTTGGAGAGACACAAAGCTCAATACTGCCTTCAATTCAAACTTAATATTCATGTCTCCTCCTCATCATCAAATTGTCACACATTTTCTTAGAAGTATCGAAAATATGCCATGCAACATTAAAAGCTCAATGTAGACCACATTACTCTTCATATTAGAATGATTTTCCTATCCTATTACCGAAAAACCAAAAGGTAACATGTAGATCTATATGTAACACTTCAAAAATACTAAATGACACTCCATGCCTGTTTTTAAGAGAACGCTTTGACATAGGGACTACTAATTTTCAAGAGTTAGATTTTTCTTTTTATCCATTTGGGACATGTCAAGTCATTTGTGTGTTATAGGAATGAAATAGGAAAAGTTGCATAAGAAGGTGTTGAAAGTGGTGCCTCAAAACCTTGAGATTTGTTTCACTTTCTGTTGTATCAATATACAGCTTAAAAGTAGGATTAAGTTCAGATAAATAAGGCTGTAGTATTTGGCAGAATCTGATTAGTCAGTTGCTATATTTTAGGCTTTAGTTATTGCAGATAATGTTAGCTTATTTTACTCCTTTTCTATAGTTTTTTGAGTTATGAATTCATGTATTTATATTGCAGTCATTATTTCAATACAAAAATGCAACTTAACATTGTTATCTTTTCTTTTCTTTCTTAGAGAAGAGAGTGAACCATATAAACCTTTCTTTGAACTACAATCTTATAAAATATTATAGAAAATGAATTGTGAAACAAGCTTCTTAACTCCACCACTCTTCAATGGCGAAAATTATCAAGCTAGGGCAATTAGAATGACGGTTCATCTCGAAGCGCTGGATCTCTGAGAAGCAGTAGAACAGAATTATGAAGTAACTTCTCTCGGTGATAGTCCAACAACGAATCAGATCAAACATCACAAGGAGATTAAGACAATGAAAGCCAAAGCTAAGGCTTGCCTTTTCTCTGCAGTATCCCCTTCAATTCTTACCATAATTATGCAAATGGTCTGTTGCAAATTTGGGAGTATCTCAAAAAAGAATACCAAGGAAATGAAAAGTGCAGAATATGCAAGTGATGATACTGATTTGAGAATTTGAAATGAAGAGAATGAAAGAATCAGAAACTAGAAAAGACTATGCAGACCAACTACTTGACTTGGCCAACAAGGCAAGCTTGTTTGGTAAGGATTTCGCTGATAAAAAGAATTGTTCAAACGATTCCTGTTACACTTCCTGAGAAATATGAAGCCACAATTTCTTCTTCAGAGAATTCTAAAGATTTGTCAAGCATTACTTTAGCAGAACTTGTTAAAGCTTTGCAGGCATTGCAGCAAAGGAGATTAATGAGGAACGAAGGTTCTGTTGAAGGTGCTTTTCAAGCTAATTCACAGAACAACGAGTCAAACAAAAGGAAGGAAAAAGAACAAGAAGCAGAGACCAAGCAATAATTACAACACTCAGGGAGAAAGTCAGCCTCCCTGCCCTCATTGCAAAAACACAAATCACTCTCAACAAAAGTGTTGGTGGAGACCAGATATCAAGTGCAACAAATGTGGTCAATTAGGCCATGAGGAGAGAGTATGCAAGTCACAACCGCAACAAGAAGAAGCTAAGGTTGTTGTAAATCAATATCAAGAAGAGCAATTGTTTGTAGCAACTTGTTTTGCTAGCAAAAGTGCTTCTAAAAGTTGGTTAATTGATAGTGGATGCACAAATCACATGTCCAACGAGTAAGAACTCTTTAATGATCTAGATAGATCTTTTATTTCCAAAATGAAAATTGGAAATGGAGAATACCTCGATGCAAGAGGCAGAGGAACTATAGCAATTGAAAGCCTTACAGGTTACAAACTTACAGTTGTTTGTTCTTGATCTTGATCAAAACCTTTGAAGTGTTGGACAACTACTTGAAAATGGTTTGAAAGTGTTGTTTGAAGAAAAAGCGTGTCATCAAGGATGATGATAACAAAGAGTTGTTCAAAGTCAAGATGAGAGGAAAAAGTTTTGCCTTGAACTTGTTGGACGAGAAGCAAGCAACAATTATCCAGTTGGAAAATAACTCAGAACTATGGCACAACTCGTACATTTGTTTTTATGACAAAGGAAACCCACAACCGGACTCGTACATTTTCATGATGATGATATACTCTTCATGAAAGAAAATCAACTAGCAGAAGGTCTTCTAAGCCTTGAGAAGAACCTTCCTGCTTGTGAAGCTTGTCAGTATAGGAAGCAAACAAGGTTGCCTTTTCAGAATTCATCATGGAGGGCAAAGCAGAAGCTGCAATTTATTCACACAGATGTAGGCAGACCTTATCAGAAATCATCATCTTTAAAGGGTAATAAGTACTATATTGCCTTTATTGATGATTGTACCAGATATTGTTGGATTTATTTTTTGAATTATAAATCTAAGGTTGCTGATGTCTTCTGGAAATACAAGCTTTTGTGGAAAATTAGAGTGGTTGCAGAATTCAGGTAATGGAACCGAGTATACTTCAGAAAAATTCAACAAGTTTTGTAATGAAGCAGGAATTGAGCTTCAGCTAACAACACCGTATACTCCCCCAACAAAAAAGAGTAGTGGAAAGAAAAAGTAGGACGTTAATGGAGATGACAAAGTGTTTGTTCCATGAGAAAGGATGAAATTTTGGGTTGAAGCTCCAAATACTGCAGTATTTCTGCTAAACATATTGCCAACTAAGGCCTTGCAAAAGAAGACACCATTTGAGGCTTGGTTTGGTCACAAACCTTTGCTAAAAATCTGAAATTATTTGGTTGTCTTGTTTTTCTTATGTACCTCAGGTGAAAAGAGATAAGTCGGATAAGAAAACTGAATCTGGAATTTTTGTTGGATACAGCAGTCTCTCAAAAGCTTATAGGATCTATCAACCTCAAAATGACAAAATCATTGTTAGCAGGGATGTCAAGTTCGTGAAAAATGACATCTGGAGCTGGCAAGATGATGACAAGCAAAAAAATCTAGAATTTCTAGATGAAGATGTTGATGATGTACCTAGTAGAGGCACAAGAACACTTTCTGATATATAACAAAGGTGTAATGTTGCAATTTTAGAACCAGGAGAATTTATGGAGGCTGCTAAAGATGAAAAATAGAGATATGCAATGCAGGAGGAGCTCAAAATGATAGAAAAGAACAAAGGGGAGCTGGTTGACAGACCATCACACAAGAAGGCTATTGGAGTCAAGTGGGTTTATAGAACCAAGCTCAATTCTGATAGTTTCATAAACAAGTACAAGGTTAGGTTGGTTGCAAAAGGGTACGCACAAATGTTTGAAGTAGATTTTTTAGAAACTTATGCTCCTGTCGCCCGTTTGGATACGATAAAAATGTTGTTAGCTTTAGCAGCTCAACGGGGATGGAAGATACACCAGCTGTGGAATCGGCTTCCCTAAATGGCTACCTTGAATAAGAAATCTTTGTAGATCAACCTGAAGGTTTTTCTATCAAAGGCAAAGAAGACAAAGTGTACTTTCTAAAGAAGCCATTGTATGGCTTAAAACAAGCTCCTAGAGCAAGGTATTGCAGAATTGATGCCCATTTTCTGAACTTAGGCTTTACAAGAAGTCTCAGCAAGTCTACACTCTATATTAGAAAAGAAGATTCTGATTGAACCATTGTTTCTTTGTATGTAGATGAGTTGCTAGTTACAGGCAATTTGAACTTGATCAATTTGTTCGACACTGAAATGATGGAAGTTTTTGAGATGACAGACCTTGGTGAAATGTTCTACTTTCTTGGCATGGAAATTCAGCAAAAAGGACATGAGGTTATCATATGCCAGCAGATATGCAAAAGAAATTCTCATAAAGTTCAAAATGGAAGAATGCAAGTCTACAATAACTCCTATGAATCAAAATGAGAAGTTCTGCAAAGATGATGGAGCTGAAAAGGTTTATGAAGGACTTTATAGGAGCCTGATAGGTTGCCTAATGTACTTAACTGCAACAAGACCAGATATTCTTTATGTTGTGAGTTTACTTTCAAGATATATGCATTGTGCTAGCGAAATTCATTTTCAAGTAGCTAATCGTGTGATTAGATATGTTAAAGGTACTGCAAGTTTGGCATAATGTTCAAAAAAGCATCAGACTTTCAGTTTCTTGGATATTCTGATAGTGATTGGGCTGATAGCTCAGATGATATGAGAAGCACCTCAGATTACTGTTTTAATCTTGGTTCTGGAATGTTCTCTTGGTGTTCAGAGAAGCAAGATATAGTGGCTCAATCTATAGCTGAAGCAGAGTATGTTGCAGCTGCATCAGCTGTGAATCAAGCCCTTTGGATCAGAAGCTACTGACAGATTTGTACATGGAGCAAAAGAAGAGAACTGAAATCTTTGTTGATAATCAAGCTGCAATTTTAACTGCAAATGATCATGTTTCACAAGGAAAGATATAACATTTCAAGAACAAGTTTATTTCTTGAGGGAGGTGCAAAAGAATGTAGACATAGACTTGGTGCACTGTAAAACTGATTTTCAGACTGCGATATTTTGACTAAGGCCCTACACAGAGCAAGATTTAAATTTCTCAGAAAACACTTGGGATTACGGTTCTTGAGTCAAGGAGGAGTGTTGAAAGTGGTGCCTCAAAACCTGGAGATTAGTTCCACTTTCTGTTGTATCAATATACAGCTCATAAGTAGGATTAAGTTCAGATAAATAAGGCTGCAGTTTGGCATCTGATTAGTTAGTTGCTATATTTTAGGCTTTAGTTATTGGATATACTGCTAGCGTATTGCAGTCATTATTTCAATACAAAACTGCAACTTAACCTTGTTATCTTTTCTTTTCTTTCTTAGTCAATATCTGTTATTCTCCTACAGAAGCATAAAAGATCACCACTGGAAACAATTTCCAGTTCACTAAAAGAGATCAACTCTGCTGCATATCTTAGGCCTACTAAGTTATGAATTACGATCCAAATGAATTTATTCGATCACTAAAGAAAAAGGAGCAGGTCCCCAATCAAAAGATTTCAGAGCTGAAGTCAAAGGTGCAAAAAGGACTCTAGACAAGCCAGTTGAGCATAAAATGAACCACCAATATAAAAAATATTAGATCGGACAGAATAGAACATACCAACTCTTGCTCCAGAATCATCATTTGCCGGTCTTGTTCCAACTTAGATCTCTTCAATCCCTCCACTTCTCCTATTAACTTCAAAGATAACTTACCATGATCTATTAGTAGTAGCAAAAGGGAGGAATGTAACCAGACTAGGAAAAGGGGCAATTTAGTTCACCTTGGCTACAAAGGCTAAAGGATCAGAAGGGTTCACTTGTTTGAGTATCCCCAGCACTTCAGAACTAATGTTATTAGCAAAAGATGTTTGAGAAATATCTCTTTGACCTTCCTCCTTTAAGCCCATTAAACTTGTTGGTCCATCATCCGGCACTTCCACATTATCATTGTCCATAGAAGACTCTGCATGCTGACTTCCTCCGCAGGATGACGCCCATTCAATATTCAGTTCATTTAGCTTCTGAAGATTCAACTCAGAAACAGCGAGTTCAGAATGTTCACTCTCCTGTACCGTGTATTGCCTTTCACACAACTTGCTCTGCTGACTGGAGGAGATTGATTGATTCTGCATTGAACAACTGGCAGAGCCTGATATTGATTCAACAGGTTCTTCATGTTCCACTAAGCCCCAAGCCTGATACATATGTCCATCTTTGTCAACAGAAGATGGAAGGCATGAATCCCAATCCATTCTACCTTTATCTGGGAATGGTGAACTAAGACTTGAAGATGAATTCAGCACTGGATCTGTCTTGTCCATGTTAGAAGTTGGATCCATCTTATCCATATCAGAAGCTGATGATTTGAACAATGAACTCCACAACTTCTGTGAATTAGACATGGGTTCAATTACTGATGTGGATGCACTAGTGCTTCTAAGCACAGAGGCATGTGACTTCTCATAATTTAGGTTCTCGGTGGTATCAGTATTCACCAATCTTGGAGTATCTGCCCAACCACCATGATCTAAGTGCTTCCAGTCTTCTGTTTTACCAACTGCATCTATTGGCACAGTCGTTGGTGAACTTTTGAAAGGATGTTTCAACTTAGATGGAATTTGCAGGCTAATGACATCATCAAAGGCTGGCAAAGATGAAAACAAGTCAACCAATCTTTTGGTTTGGCTTCGATCCAGCTCAAACCAAAACAACTTTGGCGCAAAATAGTTGTCACCAATGATTGAGATAAACTGATCTTCAGTCAAGGGATGGTACAACTTCCGCACTCGGATCCTTACCTTTACAAGAAAGAACCACATTAGGGTGAGTAACATGGAATTGCTAACAGTAACAACCCCCTACACCAAAACATGTATGATCAATTCTTGTACCTGTGCTGCATATGGTGTACTCTCTGTTCCATCAGACGTCCACGCATACGGATTGATATTCAGCTGCCCAGGGCTAGCAGCCTCAAAGATCCCATGGAGCGTTCGATCACTATAGTTGAATAGGAATAGAGTTAAGCCAATGTTGATATTCTTCACATATGAGAAATGAGAAGCTGGTAAACCTATTCAACAAGATCAAGAGAAAAATAAAGGTCCGCGTTATCTAACTGTTGTGCAATCTTCACCCGATAAAATAGCACTAAAACAAAAGTCTGATCTGAAATTGAAGACTAACCAAATAACTGTTTGAACATGCATTCCTTATATGTCAAATGCTTGCATCCAAAAATTACTGATCCAAGGTCAGCCTTTCTCAGATTCCTAGCTGATGTACTACCATTAACTGTCGACGTGTATTTGCTTTTCTCCTTTAGCCCCACTGTTGACGTCTTTCTCCCAGCCCCCATTATATTGTGGGATAAATGGCCTGCCAGTCATGGACCAATGATGTTGGAAGTCTTGATTGTAAGAGTTGGTAAACACAATTCTCGTCGAACCTGCACACTATGAATGTCTATGATCATTAACAGTCAGTACTCAACAACCACCAGAAAAAGACTAAGATCATACACGAGATTCGTTTCTGCCACTACCACTAACTCTTGTCTTTTCAAGAATTAATTAAAAAATATTGATGAGCAGAATTAGTTAAGATTGACGGCAGTGTCAAATCCACATGTATCAGCGAAGATAAGTATGTTAAAGCATTTCCATGCTATCGGGGAGGATGGAATACCAGGTTCAAGTTGTTTTTATGAGCATTAACAATGTTAAAGCATGACATGCAGAACATTTAGGGATGAAACAACAAATACATATTCCTTATGAGCACAAATGGTGGCCTTCCTGTTAAAGCCATCTGGAAGAATTACAAGTTCACCAACTGTGGAGTTGAACTGTGACTGCATCAAAGTATTTTTTGTGTGTGTGATAAGGTGATTGCATCAACTTGTTGTGATAGCAGTTAGGAAACTTTGTGTAAGGAAAGCTTCATAAATGTTAACTATGCTTTGAAGTAGAAGAGAAAAACAAGTAACATCAATAATAACTAAGGTCGAGGTTCAATAATAGTACTTCTGGGTGTTTTAATGACAAAAATGAGTAAACAAAGATGCCCAAATAGTGAAAAAGAATTCTCAATCTAGGCATAAGTTGGAAATGTCCTATCTTGAGATCACAAATTGAGAGGAAGAAGTAACCATAAGTGTGTCATACGAACAAACAAAGAAAGGACAAAGTAATTAACAGAAATATTTTGCACGTAGAGCTAATAGGGGGAGAATGGGAGAATATGCAAGTACAACTCATGGTTGCTACCAAGGAAAAGATATAATAGGATGATAAAACCCTCAGCTGAACTATTTCAATTATTGATCACAGAATTATTGCTAGAGAATTTGGAACCCATCTGCTTAAGTACTTGCTCCTTATTGGTTCCTTGCCCCCTATTGATGTGAATGGATTTTTAGACTAAACCCAAGACCGTTTTCTCTTCCTCGGTGGCCAAGTTGAAGCGCTTAACATCGGCCTACCATTTTCTTTTCAAGGTTGAGCTTGTTCTATTGAAGCTAATGCTATGTTGCCCTTCCCTTGTTCAAGAGAAAATGAAGAGTTTCTTTTAGCTACCGGCCAAAACAAAAAAGATTACCCTTAATCAATGATTGATTGGATTAAAGTACAGAGGGGGGTGATTGAAGTCTGAGCATGGTACCAATGATAAACCATGGAAGCTCACAAGCAAGCCAAGGAAGAAGCCTCCATTAAAAGGATGAATTCAAGAATGACTGATGCTTAAAATATAGATTTCTATCTTAATATCCCAAACATGGAGTTGAACAAAATGTAGCAGTGTTTGACATATCATGATATGTACGTAAAGCATTATTTATCACTTTCATGTTTATTCAAAGCTATTTTAGGTACACTCTTGACAACGCAACCAAAGGCTGTGAGTTAACCATTGCAGACTATGCTAATTTTGCTGGTCTTGAAAGAATATCCATGCGGTTAAACAACAGGGAGTTTCTAGACTTTAAAGAAGGGAGTATTACTTACCCAAACCACAGCAAGTTAGTTATTAATCATTAATGCAGAGGGCAATACAACAAGTAGTGAAATACCATAGAGGAAGGACTCTAACTAGGTACAACTTTCATCAAGATAGGAGCTTACAGGTCACAGCATCAAAAACAACAACCAATGGAGAACTTCTTAGAAATCTTGAGGCTTTAGAGAAATTGAACGAACAAACAATGTGCTATAGGCACCAACTTAACTCAGTAATAAAAAGGTAACAAAAGATATGGTAGTAGGCCAGATTCTATATTCTACAACTATAAGTAGTCCAGATAAGCATATGGAGTTATATCCTAAGAGTTTTTAAGCTTTCCAGGAATCCTTAATATTTTGCAATTATAGCAGGTTGTATTCTCAAAATAAGTCTCTAAGCCAGTCTTGATTTTCTAAACATGTACAGAAGGCAACTTCATTTGAGTAGTGATGAAGACTTTGAATTTAATGTTATAACAAGCAATCTACTTCAGTCGTAAATGAAACACCGTGTGCAACTCCTCTGGAGTCTAGTGCTTTACTCCTTTTCTTGACAAATTTAAAACAGTTTCAGAAGAAATTTTTTTTTTTAAAAACAAAACAAGCTTCTTTCTAAGACGAAAATTTCTAACCTCAAACAACCCATATCAACTTCACAAGACACCTATGGAAACAAAATGTAGCTAAAGATACAGCATTAATGTCCAGCAGCAGCACAGCGTTGTTAGTAAAATTCTATACATAAACAAGTACTGAAACCTAAGAAAAACATAAAGCCATGAGAGCAGAAGTTCTGAAATCAAGTAAATACAACTGTATCAAACAAAATAGAAACAATCCAGGCAAAACCAAGCGAACTACCTAAATATTTATATTTGCATCATACCTTGCAATCACAAAATACTAAAAATGTATGTTGCAGCAGAAACAACTCTTCGTACCAGACCACAACCAGTCGTAGAACAAACAGAAACAAAAAATACCAATTCTTAACCATTTCAAAGCCAAAATTGAAAGCAAAATCGGAAATCAAATCACAATCTATCAGCCATGGATGCATCCTGCAGGTAATTTAGTCGCGTCACCCAAAAATAGGCCACATTCTAATATGATTCGCTTCTACGAACTGAAGTGAAACCTAGAAAACAACAGTGTAAAGATACTCCAACACAAAATGAAAAGAAACAGAGAGTTAAAAAACACTCTTCACTTCAACGAACACTACTACAGCACTGAAAAGTGAAAATGCATTAGCCCTTCATATCATATCATATATATATATATATATATAGTAAAACACAGCAGATTTTTCGAAGACGATCACGTCTTAAGCATCAATATTTGTGGAAACATCCACATAATTTTGTTCAATAAAAGGCAGAAACGGTGATCATTAAGCATCAAACTGAAGAAAAAAACCACCTTTGCACGTTTCAAGTGAGAATGGAAGAGACGAGAACCTTCCGCACAACGGTGAGAAGAGCGTGAACTGTGAAGTGACTATATATAAAGAAAGATCCTTTTACAAATTAGTATAATGTATGCTATTTATTAATGTTCTACAATTTTCAAAAAAGAAAAGCTAAGAGTCAAAATGAGACAAGATTCCAGAAGTGAATTTTAATTAAAACAAATTATATAAATTTATAGTTGGTACTTTGCTTTCTTTACGTTTCATCTTTACTAATTTCTCTTACAATTTTCTGGGGGCAGTAACTAGATTTGTTCAAAGCTTACTAACATTTGTCATTTTCTTTAATGAAGTTTGCTATTTTCTACAAGATAAAATGCATTCTTATAAAGTTAGTCAAGAGTATTATTGTGATCAAACAAAGGACAATAATAAGACATATGGTTTAAATTATATCTTCAAATGTTTTTTATGATAAATGGGTATTGCATCATAAATTCAGTCAAAATATGAAACAGAGGGAATGCTGTTTTGATTTTAAAAAGGCAAAAAGACATTAATTTATGAAAACTCACATAAATATCACTTGTCTGATTATGGATACAATCTGATTTGTAATATTATACATTTATTATATTTTTGATACATTCAAATATGTTTCATATGTCCAGATACATGTATCTCATGATATATGAGGTCAAATTTGTTTTAAATACAATATATCCAAATAAATTCAAATATATTTTAAATACATAACAAATCTCGTTTGTTTCTATTCCATTTTACTTTATGTATTTGATATTCAGGTGGTACATGCGAATCATATGTATCTAGTCTTTATTTAGTATGATTTGCATGTATCTGAGTTACAACAAAATTTCATCTTCTCTCTTCGTATCTTACGATATTTGATAGCAAAAATACATATATTTAAATATATTTTTATCAATATATATAATACAAAACTCTTAATTTGTAGTAAAAATGTGTTATTTAAAAGTATAAATAGTACCAATATATATGGCATTAAAAATGTCTAATTATAGTTTCTCCTTAATTTATTCATTCAAATAATATTAGAGTAAATATAATCAAATATTTTTTTCTATGATTTATGTTATAAATACTACTATTGACAAATTACTATAAATAATTTATTATTTTGGCCGGTGTGTAGTATTATACTTGGCTATAAAATGTTACCTAGAAATTGATTTTTCTTCCAATCACAATGTGGAGACCCTTGACATTCCAAAATACGCATGCAAATTACTTGCCAACTCACAAGTTTACTACATTAAGGTAGCGAGATTAAATGCAATTGAGCAAATTGACCGACTTACCCTCCAAATCCTTTTAAGCCGTTAACATAAATCATTTCTTTGTTTTTTTTTTCTTTTAGGTGTTCAACATTTGGTTATTCCTACTGTGTTCTTGCTTTTTATCTGTTCAATCTATTTTTTACCGTCTTTTTTTTTTTGGAATAAGACAGACATCATGGAAAGAATCACTGCAATAGATGTGGTGGGTTGTGACTAGAAAGGTGGATAAATTCAAAATATATTTCTATGTATGTAATTGAACTACTAATTAGTAAAATGTTTTTGTTTTTCTTTTTAAAGTCGTACTTTCCATTAAGATAAAACAGAATATGGCTAAAATATCCCTTGAAAATAAAATTAAAATAATCTAAATTTTTAAAAATCTACGAAAAAAGACGCGCGAACTCAGGATTTGAATATAGAATGCACCATTAAGAGTAGTTCAATGATAACGACAAGAGTGACTTAAGGGCAAGTTAGCAAAGCACCCTGCTTAGGTCTTTAAAATTTTGTGCCCCAATAATTTTAGCTTAAGGGTAAGGTTAGCAAAATACAATATCTTATTTTATACTCGTACTCCAATCATTTAAAATATGACCTTTAAGGCTTAAACCATGACTTAGAATATAGTGTGTTCACTTTATCTCGTCTTCTAAGACTATTTATTGATGGACATTCTCTTTACAGGATTCAGTTTAAGTGATAAATCAAATATATTTATAAAACGCGAAAATTGTCTCTAAAACTAGAACTTGATTGAAAAGGATTATTAATTGTAAAAAATTCTATCCATTTTAAATCACAAAAAGAAGAACTTATCAATTTATGCGAGATAATGAAAGTAGAACTTCAAATATGAGTGAAAAGTACTTAAATTATAAATTCTATATTTTCTAGCTGTATTATATTTTATTTAAAATTGTGTTAGGGCTTTTATTTAATTTTAATTCCAAATTATGAAAAGAATGGTACCGTATGAGATGGCAGAAAAGGGTGGTTAAAGAAAGGGTTGGGGTTGATGAGGTGCAAAAATGAGTTTTAATAAAAGATAATTTTTTAAATTTTTTTTAACTATAATGGAAAATCGATTTTAAAGTGAAAAAAGAACTTTTATGGGATTCGAACTCCCACACAAGCCACAGTCCAAAATGACAACTTCAACCAATGCACTTGGGCATCTTTTTTATTACAATGGTGCAAAATCAAATATATTATTATTTTATCAAATATCTATAAATAATTTTTAAAAAAAATACCGGGTGCACATGCATTCTCATGGGTGAATACGAGTCCCTCTCTGTATACGAACCAATATAAAATATAGGCTTAAGTCATATATCGCCCCTCAAAGTTGTCCGTATAATTCACTTAGACACCTCAACCGAGACTTGTACATATTGAACACCTAAATTGTTCAAAATATGTACCTATTAGACACAAAATGCTGATATGACAAAAAATGTGTATTGCACTTCCCTGAAGCGCGTGAAAAGACTTAAAATAGTATCTTTTTTAATTTTTTTTTACATTTTTTCTTCTTTTATTGACACTTGGCATTATAATTAACTTAAAAAATATTTTCTTCCTTATTTACACTTTTTTCGAAAAAAAATTCACTCCCTCCCTATCTATCATCTTCTTCATAGTTTAGTTTATAAAACTTTCTTCATTTTAGCTCCAACACTGTTTTTTTTCTTTTTTTATATACAAAAAATTTATATCTTCCAAATATTAAGATAAATGAAAATTAACTATAGAGATTCAGATTTGAAAGAAAGTCTTCGTATGATTTATTTCAAATCTCATAAAAACAAGGAACAAGTATGAAGAAGATGAAAAAAGATAAATGATTTTTACATATAAAAATAGTTAGCCGATATTTATTCATCACAATTTTCGAACAAAGATTTTTACTCAAATTCATATGTGGTCATTAAATTTATCAAAAATGATATAAAAAATTTGAAAGAAAATTTTTTGGAGCTATTAATTTCATTGTTGTCATCGATGTAGAGTTGAATAACCGCCAACAAAATTTTCTTGCTTCTTCACTCTTAGTATGAAAAAGAAAATTAATCTTGAAGTTATTTGAAAAAAATAAGATTTTGTAATTTGAGAAAGAATGTGTTTTGGGGAAGAAGATGAAGATGAAAGGGGGTTGGGTTGGGGTGGGGTAGGTAGGGTAGAATAGGTTGACATTTTTATTTTTTAAAAATTTAGATATTAAATGTGTGTTTTTTTTATAATTTTCGAGCCCAATGCCAAATGTTATTTTTTAATTAGTCATCTTGCCACGTCATCGCAAGTGTATCACACACTCTTCATATTTTTTGTTGATTGTCAAAAAATGTCTAATAGAAACGATTACTATATAAGTAAAAGTGTTCAATTGATACTAATATTAGTTGAAATGTCTAAGTGAATTATGCGAACAATTTTAAGGAGCCGCTAGCCTAAAATATACTTACGCCACATAACTTAATATATAATATTATATAACGTTAATAAAATTTTTCGTACTTGACGTGGTTATGAAAGGCGATAAGATATTAATATACATTTATTCAAATGTATAATTGATTTTATAGATAAAAATATTTGGTATTAATTAAACGATCTCCAACAAAGTCATAATTTACACTTTTGAATCAAAAGCAATATAACTTACGCCAATAAAAATTTTATTTAAAATTCTAAACAAAGAAAAATCATAAAGAGAACTACAAAAAAATATAACATTATTCTTACCATCTTAATCATTGAAAAAATAAAAATAATAACATGAAATTAATGTACAATTTTTGGAGCTCTTGTTGACATCCATCTCCACAAGCCAATCATAATTCAATAGCCTTCGTTTATTGTTCAAGTCAAACTAAAAAATGAATAAAATAAATGTATAAAACATAACAATTTAAAAGGTAACTGTGATTATTTCTCTAAAATGCTACAATGCATCTATTTGTAGGACTATAATATGTATAACAAAAAATGTCATGAATGTGACTATTAACTATTTTAGAGGTTATAATAATAAAAATTATGAGAGTAATGAAAACAACTACCATAAAGATTTGCATTAAAGAATATGAAAGAATGTTAATTGAAATATTTAGTATTCTATGATAAAAAAATTGAAAAAATTATATACATATATATATATATATATATATATATATATAAAGGATTCTTAGCCAAAGATTATAATAATGATGAAAAATTTGAGAGACTAGAGATATTAGTACTTTTAGACTTAGTGTAATTTAAAATATGTAGTGAAAGATTTGTAATTGAAAAAATGGGGGGGGGGGGGGAATTTTACGGATAAAGCACAAGTATCCCTTCAATCTATGTCCGAAATCTCAGAGATACACTTATACTATACTAAGGTCCTATTACCCCTATGAACTTATTTTATTAATAATTTTCTATCTCTTTTTGGCCTACGTGACACTATCTTGTGGGTCCAACGTTGGTTAACTTTTTATTCCAAGCTAGTGTCACGTAGGCCGAAAATGGGTAGAAAATTACTTATAAAATAAGTTCAGAGGGGGATAATAGGACCTTAATATAGTATAAGTGTGTCTCTGAGATTTTCGGGCATAGGTAGAGTGGGTACTTGTGCATTTTTTCAAAATTTTATATTAATACATTTTT